TTTTTTACGTTTTAAAAAACGTAAAAAGACTTAATCATGTCTTTTATTTCCTAATATGTCGTCTCTTAACATTTATGAAGATTTTAAGTTTCCTCCTTAGAGAAAATAGTTCCATCATATTTGAAAATAAAATTTGCAGTCAAACGATATGAATGCAATGGGATCTGTTGTAGCTGATATTGTTAGGGCGAATATATTTGCCAAAATGATGAACGAGATCAAACCTAGATTATTAACCAAATCCATAGACGATATATTTGCTGTCATAAAAATTAACAACATAGAGAGTACATTTTACACATTATATAATATAGTAACTTCAACAACTCTCAACCACTTCATCATATAATTCGGAACACAGCTCTGAATTTGATTAGACGTGTATTCAACATCAACGATTCAATTTTTCATAAGGAAAATAAGAAATTTCTAATTGCCATCTTGCTTCAAAATGGTTATCCCAAACGGACCATATCTAAACAACTTTTAATACAAGGGAATATAGTGTGAAAAATCAAATCCGATCCCCAACATTAGCTCTCAAAGCCAAAAACACTTAAAAACCATTTTTTAACAAAGTAAAATCTCCAAAGGACAAATTAACTAAGCACCATGTTGTAAACAAAATTTACTGTGGATGTGACGGGTCAAATATATGCAAGCAAGTATCAAAATCAGGATCAAAAGACAGCATTAGCGACCAACTGCTTTATGATGAACTATACTCCAAATTTTAAAGAAGTACAGATCATCAACAAAGAGACAAATTATAGACGTAGACTAATGCTGGAAATGTTACACATAATAGATGTTCCAGACAGTCAAAGATTTAATTACAAAAAAAACAGGAAGGGTCTTGCACAAATCTACAGGTCTCTGATCAATCATTGGAGAAAAATTTAATATATAACTAATAAATTTAAAATCAAATTTTTTTTCCTTTGTTTGCTCAATTAGTTTTGTTTTAAATTTAATTTTAGTTCTTTTATCTGAATTTATGTTTGATTTTAACTTAATAAATTTAAATGTTAAAAGGTCAAACATTGAAAGAGACAACAATGTTTGTCATTTTTGGTTTTTTGTTTTTTATATATGCTTACCATTTTAATTTTTAATAATTTTCTTTATTATTGCCTTCAAAGTACTCTCCTCCTGCGGCAATACATGCATGCCAACGATTGATCCAATTTTCCATACAAATTTTATAGGCCGCCGAAGGTATGGCCTTTAGTTCACGCAGCGAATTCTCTTTTATGGCCTCTATGGTCTCAAAACGCGTCTATGGTCCTCGCAATGGCAATTTGAGTCGAGGGTAGAGGAAACAGTCACACGGGGCCATATCTAGAGAGTACGGTGCTTGGTTGATGATATTGGTGGAGTTTTTTCCAAAAACTGAGATACCACCAACGCTGTGTGAACCGGTGCTTTATCGTTGTGTAAAATCCATGAGTTTTCCTTCAATAAATCTGACCTCTTTTTGCGAATGACCTCACGTAAACGACGCATAACGACCAAATAATACTTCTTGTTGACCGTTCGAAGAAAACAGTCAGCATAACCTTGATTTTGGACCGACTTTGGCGTTCTGTTTTCGGTTTTGGCTCACCTTCGAAACACCATTCGGTCGATTGTTGTTTGGTGGGCATGTCAAATTCATAGACCCATGTCTCATCACCAGTTATGATGCGTTCGATGAATGTGGGGTCACTATCTGTGTTTCTGCGTTGGAAATCATCTGTTTGGCCACATCACAACGACGCTTTTTTTGAATGAAATTCAGCTAAAAATCGCCTCATGAAAATTTTTCAATTTCTTTGTATAGACGGCAACCAAAAACTAATCGTACGATATGCTTTAAACTTTGACAGAATGTGAATAATAGTGTTACCAGTGTGAAAATAAAAAAAATTGCCGATTGGCTTATCCGGGAATTTAAAAAAAGAACGAATAAGTTCTTTTTTGATCACAAGGTATATGTTCATTTACTTGTATTTAAAAAATTTCTTTTGTTTGTTATTGTACACTGAAGATGGTCATCGAAGTAGACCGAAATATCTGTAATATAAATAATTTTTTAAAAAAAACATATTAACATTATATTAACATATAATTAAATATTTAACACAAACTACTAAGTGTATTTTTTTATTTAAAACAATATTTTTATAATGCCTATGTGTTAAATAAACGACCTAAGCCCAGTAATAATTCAAAACTTAATGAAAATTGATCGTAATAACAATATATTAAAACATTTTATTTATAATTATTTTTAATAATTAATTTTTAAAACAAAAAATTTATAAATTAATTATAAGTCAATTTATATTCGTTTGCTCAAAAATCCCTTAAATGTAAAGAAATACTTTAGATATCTAGATACGCAGCATCAATTTATTTATTTATATAAATTCACTTCCAAATCCAATTGGAATTAATTTTTCATATTAATATTTATATAAATATTTTTAATATTTATATATAATTTGTTGAATAATCTTATTCAACTACCTTATTCAGTTCTAATATTTTTTTATCTTTGGGGGAAAATCTTTGCAAGTATAAATAAGGTTGGAAATTCATACCCTAGACAGTAATAAATTTACCATTGTAAGATGAAGATCTACGCTTTCATAAGCCTTTTGTTGGCCATTTTGGCGCTTGCAGTCGGTACGTTATATACTTTATATTACTTTTGAATAATCGGAAAAATTTAATTGTAATGAAATAATTTTATTTTAGCAACACCAACTCCTGAACCACAACTTGAAGCTAAGTGGGGAATTGGTGGTGGTGGTGTTGGAGGTGATGAAAAATTGTGGGGAGGCGGCGGTGGTGGTGGAGGTCATGGAAAATAGAGCCTTTGATTACATTCTACATACACTATAACAGGCGACCTAAATACGTAAACTATGATTTTTTTTAGAATTTTGTTCACATCAAGAAAAACTATTATAATCTGTTAAAAATCGTTGATCAATCAAAAGATCGATACAAAAAAATAAAATGTTTGAAACCTGAATAAATATTATTTTTTTTTAATTAATTTGAAACAAATTTAAAAATCCTTTAAAAATATTTTCTACACACTACTTACAATCATTTTAAATATTTGCTGTTTTGGATCTAATTATTTTATTTAACAATGAAATTATACAAGTATTGAGATACAGATCTGCCATTTACATATTCATAAATCGAACTACTTCTTACAGATTTCTTGAGGTAGATTGATTTGAATTTATTATATTTGTATTAACAGAGTACTAAGTTATAATTTACTGAAACCTATATATAATCTATTATGCTACTAACTCACAGCTAAGAGATGTTGCTTATACTTTATTATAATCTTATATTCGCTATTAAATCTAGTGAAGATTTACATTAAGTTCTACACCTAAGCGGCATTTTTTAAACGAACCTGTAATAAACAATTCTATATATAAGTCTACAAAGTTTTGTTTAAAAATATTCATTACATGAAGTAAATACCAGCTCGTCCTCTGCTCGCTGTCATTGCCTCAGGAGATAATATCTTATCTCCTACTTCGATCTAAAAGTTATGTGAGAAACAAATATTAAATTGTATACTGAAGGTCGTGTTAACCTTATGGATTCTAATTTTAAAGTTATGGTATAAAAAGAAATCACTAAATTATTAATGGATGTTTAATTCTTAGATCAATTTTGCAATATTTTAAACATATATAAAAACCCAAGTTTGTGTAAAATCTAGTTGACTATTTTAGTACAAAAATCTATAGACGTCCAATGAATGTAGCAATCATTTACATACTTACATATATTTGCTTAAACGTCAAGAACGTTAAATGACTGGAAGACGCTGCACACTAGATTTCTCTAGAAACACCCAATTTATTTCCGAATTTTTCAGTAATGTGTCCTTTAACTACTTGTTTGTATAATCGATACACATCTATCAAACAATGTGACGCCGCACACACTGCAGCTCAGAAAATACTTACAAATTTCTTAAGTCACTCTAAAGTGAAATTTAGGTTTATATAATGTAAGCTTTATGTCAAGCTCTATCAAAAAGCCATTATTGTGGGATATTGAAATATTTCATAACTATGTAGTTGATCACAAGAATAATACTCAAAGCAAAAAAGTTCTAAATAAACAATTATATGTCATATAGAAACATTCCATCCTTTAACTGGGAATCATGGAAGGAAGAAACAAATGTTTTGATTTTGATCTTATGTTAAAAAATAAATTAAAAATAATTAGTTTCATTAAGTTGTCAAATAAGTTTCAAGAATGTATTAAATATATTTCATTCAATACCTTCCTTTCAAAAACTTCAGAGAACTTTATTATCTACGCTTAATATACTTTAATAGAAAAGATAAACTAGTAAAATGTCAACTAACATGAAATTTATACTATATTTTACAGCTGAAATTAATAAATAATTAATTACAAAGGATGTGCATTGAAGTTATTATCCTATAAAAATTCAACTTTAAGAAATTTGATATATTTTTGAGTCTTTAATAAACAACACTTGTGGACCAACGCTTCGGATTATTTCAATAGTCGGTGACATACAAATTCTAAATTTTTCAATCAGAATTAGTCAAATAAATTCATCATATTTATTCAATTTTAGTAAATTTTTTATTAAAACTTTTTTCATTGAATGAACTTAAATTTGTAGTAGTTAGCATTGATCTTTGGTTAAATTTGATGCATTAGTCATTTTTTCATTTTCATTTAAAACAAAATATATTCGGAAAAGTTTCCGAAAATCTGTCTGTGAAAATTCTTTAATTATTAACAAATTTAATATGGTCATACCGGGAAATGCCCTACTAAAAGCCCTTCGTCAGTTGAAAGTTCCATCAACTGCCGAAGAAGTAGCTGGACAAATAGCAAAGAAGTCGAAGAAAAAGTACCAGCTGCTTCTTCAGGAAGTAACGGAGAGCTTAGAAACTGGAGCACGCCTCCGTTACTTTAATTCAAACAATGGGTTTTATTACACTTCTGGAACAAAGAAAAATCGTCGTAAAGATGTTCTGAAGAAATCTGAAAACGATTTTTGTCAATGTCCGTCACAAGAGTCTGTCACTAACGAACCTCCGATTAATCATGTACACCATCTTACAGGTAAGAAATTAGTAATGGATCAGGGGTTTAGAAAAACACTAAGTTTTCGATTTATTTTTATTTATATTTTACTTCATTGTTTTTATATCAATGTCGTTATAATAATAAATTGATTTCAATAATGTCTGGGCTGGTTTAAAAATTTCCATCGAAGCAAATTCGGTTGTAAATAATAAAAAAAATAATTGTTCAGTAGACAAAGGTACGTTTTTTATTACAAAACCAATCCAATAATTTTATAAACCTTATAACGAGATAAATTTAATCACAGATAACGAGAATGCGACTACAGGCAAACGAAAGAGACGTAAACCATTGCATGATTCAGGAATTGCACCTAAAAGGAAGAAATTGACGTTAAAAGGTAAGTTGACTTGAAATCTATTAGATTCCGACATTATAAAAAAAAAAAGATTTCATGACATTATTTGTTTCAGAAAAAAAGCAAATTAATAGTGTTGGTCTTGATGCTGATCCTTTCAAACATGGGTCACTTAATGGATTATGTGAGAAGCATTCTACAACGAAAATCCTGGTCGAGGATTTAAGACTCAAAGTTCACGCAATTGCAAGAGAGTTGGGGATGATTAAAAAAAATGAGTTAATGAGTAAATCGTATGACAAAGGAAAATGTGAAATGAATGAAGAACTTCTTGAGAACAACATAATGAAAGTACTTAAAACTTTTGTACTGTCTCAGAATGAACCGGCTTTCAGAGCAAACACTGTTCTGATAGATAACATCAAAAAAATTCTACATAGCATAATTGATGAGTATATGATGGAATCTGTTTTCAATGATGGGCCAGATGCTGTGGACAAATCTGCCGCTACATTAAATAACTCCAAAATGTTTCGGCCATATATAAACTAAATTGTATTAAATAAATGAATAATTTTTGTATTTATTTTGTGAACTTTTGGAAAATTTGTGAAAATTCATTTGTATTTTTTTCAAAAGCATTATATGTTTTTAAGACACCTAAATGTTTTGGTTTTTATTATTGCATAATAAACTACATATATGCGCACCATGTGGATAATAAATTATAGGAAAAGTGCGATTCGTATGATTCAATCATCATTCTATTGATCATCTGAGAATGAGCCTCTCTCCCTGATTTAAAATCATTGCAACTTTGAGCTTCAAATACGCATTAGAATTATATCGTACACATTTTTAAATATAGATGGAATAACATAATAGAACCATTACGCCATTGGTACTTTTGATCAGCAATCACCGATTGTTGTCCGTCTTGACCATTTCTGTCTACAGCTTAGATAGAGTCTTATTGTACTTAAATTTGTTTAAGTAGCATTCAACAGCATAAACAAGATGTTACTTTTCGTCGATTGTTTGATTTCGTTAATAATTTTCTTATTAAAATGAACTTTCAAGGCAGTGAAGGTTTTCCTTTATCTCATTTAAATCATTTAAATAAATATGCAACACTAATTTCCATCCATTTCCATCACTGCACAAACCTGTCTGATAAAATGTTGCAGCAAATTCTGGGTTAACATCTCAAACACTCGCATTTTCGTATTGTGCACACGGACAGTTTGAACTGATTTGAAAATTTTATGATATTTCCTCGAATACAATGTGCCGGTCTGGAAAACACTTTCTGTTCAAACTCAGTGAATATTGGTTAATATGTCGCACAGTGTGACAATACAGAAATTAACCGCTCAAAATTCAATATTTTCGCAACCAGTGGTATTGATATAAAACTCTTCTAAAATATTGTTTTTGAGATGATCTTTGTTTTAAATCTAATGTACATAATGCTCAACATAATGTACATAATATGTTATAATGTATATAATGTGAACATAATGTGTTATAACTTCGTTATTTTTCAACTGATTTGGTTAAAATTTGAAATATATATAAATTAAATATTTATAAAATAACAAATGCCCTAATATTTTCATTTATTGAATTTGTTGATATAAATAAGCTTTATTAAAGGTCATATTTTGCACAATTTTCATTGAATTTTGGGGCCTTAAACAGATATAAAACATAGAGTGCGCATGACAAATTTTTTGTTGTTTGTAAAGCTATGACACGCTGGAGCAGCTGACAAGCAAAAATAAAGTGACGCTATACTGGATGCCTGGTTACACAGGAATCAATGATAATGAGTCTGCCGACAGTCTTGCACGGGCAAGATCTGCCACTCAAATCTGTGGACCAGAACCTTATTGTGGATTAAGTTGGTCTACAACTAGGTCTCTAATCTGTCGTCGCTACTGGCGCAACAGTCGACGTAACCGTCAGGCTAAAGAGCTGGTTTACCCCTATAGTTATAATAATATATCTTTCTTCAGCAAAACAGAGTTGAGATTGCTGGTTCACCCCTCAACAAAATGAGTCGTTCGGAAGAGATAGAGTGTAGACTCTGCTTAGAAGCAGAGAAGACATTCAGCCACATTCTATGTGACTGCCCAATCTTGATCTGGGCCAGGAGGAGGTCACTGGGTCGGGAACTACTCTCATTTTCCGACATTAGGAGATCCTCAATGACCAACATTTTAGCCTTCATTTGGAAAGCGGAATGTCTTCTGTTCGGTTAGGGTCTGTTGTAGCACAAAAGATTAATCATGGTCGCAGTGCTCTGCTCAAGTGGAAGCTAGTACCTTATCTACTACATATTTTAGTATAATATAAAAGCATTTGTGTCTTAATAAGGGTTCGAAATAGAGATGAAACGGGTTTAATGTATATCTAAGTTAATATTCAAATGTGTCTTACTTACTGCAATCATGGGTACAACGAAATATTTACTAGCTACTGGAATAAGTACAAGCATGTTATATAAAACAAACCAAAAAGTATTCTTGTCCAATAGTGCTTATACAGGAATATATACACACATATATAAAATAATGTACTTGTAATATAAATTATTAATAAAACATTTCTTAATTTATAACACAAAATAATTATTATTCAATTTGCTTTATTATTATTATAATTTGTAGCAAGGTATTTAACAATAATAGCATTTAATAGGAGAATTTACTTTCCACCACCTCCACCGCCACCACCACCACCTCCCCATAATCTGCCACCACCGCCGCCACCACCACCTCCGCCAGGCATTGGTTCAGGATTTGGCTGAGGATTTGGAGTAGCTAAAAGTAAATAAAATTTTTATACTAGTCCTTTAGATTCTTCATTAAATTGGATGTAATTTGCAACATACCAACTGCCAAAGCCAACAGTGCTAGTAAGAATGAATGCATAGATCTTCATCTCTCAACTTCGATTTTAGTAATACCTGAATTATCAACTTAAGCCAATATTTATACTTGATGAAATTTGAATATTTTTATATATCATTCAATTGTATAAATGTCAGCGTATTTTGACCAGGGGTTTCACAGAAATTAAAACAGAATCATTTATCAATATAACTACGTGCTTGATAATAAGAACATTACTGTAAACAAAATTACCTAGACTATAACAACAAAATCAAACACAATACTTTTAGAAAAACATAAAAAACAAAAAAAAAACTGATATTCGATACATTTGTTAAGTTTTATTAATTTTCCATCTAATGAAATATAATTTCTTGGAATCTCGAAAGGGCTTTCCCTATAAACTGTAACAATATTTAACATGCATACAACGACCGTATTAATACATTTGATTTAATAAATGGAAAAGCATTGCTAACCAATTTGAAGTTTCAATGGATCTATTGCTGTAACATTTGCGGTCGTTGGAGTAACAGAAACTTATTATTATTTTTTATTATAATTAAAATTATTGCCGCGAAATCGCCCAACAGTCGTTACTGCGATCAAAAGAGTCCTATTGTACCAAATTCACTTTTAATTACACAACGCCATTTAATGCTTTGTGAACAAAGTCCAGAACTAAATCTGAAGAAGCGCTCCCAATCTCTTCTGGTGACAGAAAGTCTATATAAAATAAGTTTCTTCTGTGCGTTGTTAAAGCTGGACAGTCACAAGGAATATGAATAGTTGTTTCCTTATCTTCGATCTGCATTCCAAATTAGCAAATAAGCAAAGTTTATGTAGATGATATTTTAAACCATAATAACCCATAATGAAACCCATTAGCACTTTTAAATTACCTTTTGAAAATTTAGGAATGTTATTGTAGGAGTACAGTTTGATCAGTGGTTTGATTTGTCTAAATCCTGGGAAATCTTCCCAGTATACCAGCCGCAAACTAATCTCCCACTTCTTGGTTATTCGTTTTGTACTGTCCCAATTTAATCCACACAAAGGTTGAGGGTCTGTAAAAGCAGTTTTTGATGCAGTTCTGGCCAACTCATCAGCTTGTTAAAAACACTGTGACCCGGAACCCAAAAAAAAAACTGCAAGTAACTGTAGAAGCTCGTAATACTCAAGCACCTGTTTCGACTTGAAAGTCCAAGAAGACAGAGCTTTAAGAGCAGCCTGGCTGTGAGAGTAAATAACAATTCACGATCCAGATAATTTGTTGATTGTGTTGGATCTCAGGCAAAAGTTAATTACACATTGAGCCATTTGCCCATTGCCTCCGAAATTCTGATGTTGGGTTCATATACACCAGCACCAATGCCTCCATCCATTTTTGATCCATCTATGTACCAAATCAAACTTTTTGAATGTGATGGTAGGTGTACCTCAAATTTTCTGCCAAACCGTTAGACATTTGTTATATAGTCCCCACCGCACTGAGGTATTTTATGTACACACTGTGTATTTTTATTATTGTTTCATGACCATAGCAGATAAATCTTGTTGATATGGAGCTTTAATCGCAGCGCACTAAGCGCAACCGTAGATGTGCAGAGGTGTCAGCTCAAATACAATTTCAAGTGCTACAGGATTAGAACTAGTTCTCATTCAGTCAGTTCTTAAGAGACACGTAAGTCTCTGACGCTTCGTGCAAACATTATTAGATCCAGTCTGTGTGATCTTTTGCCACCAAACCAGGCATCTATATGCCATGATAGAACGTACTACTGCCTGATATATTCAAAGTATCATCTTTGGGTTGAGGCCCCAAGCTTTACCTATACAGACTTAGAGATTTAGAATAATTTTAATTTTTTTTTTTTTAATTTATTACTCACATATATACATATAAATAAAATATACATATAAATCTAGAAGTTTTAATTTATGATCATATGAAAGTATCGTATATATAAAAAGGTTATATTTACATAAATATAAGTTTGATATCAGTATACAATGCTTTAATTTTTCGTTTAAGGGAAATTAGTATTAGCCAAGGTCTAGTAATAGACCTTAAGTAATATAATTTAAAAACTTCATTTTATCTCTACTTTTTAGCGATGCTTTTTATGAAAATATTAATCATTTTAAAATTCTTAACAATTCATTAAAAACAAATAAGGAAGATGCATGTTCTATATAAAGATAATAAAAATATCTATATTTTTAAAGTTAACTCCACATGGTTGTTATTAAGTTTTTGATTCGAGATTTTGTGAAATAGGTATACGAATACCGACAGTATTCGACAGTATTTTGAGTTTTCAAAAAAAATATCCCAATAATAAGCCAAATGTATTGGTATTCATCGAAGACCAGTTCGTGAAAATCATTATAATACGCTTGTTGCGATCTATTGTAAGGGCGGTTAAATATCTGTTCGGTTTAGTAATGATTTACTTCAATATCATTTCACAATAATAATTTGCTATAATAAAAAATTTTTTTTCAATAAACATAAAAATAATAATAAACATTTTATTTATAATTATTTTTAAAAATTTATTTCTAAAACTTAAAAAATTAATAAATAAATTCTATGAATTTATAATTTATTTTAATTATAATTTATATTATACAATTTATATGAATTTGCACAAAAATCCTTTCAATGTAAATGAAATACATTACCAAATAAGCTTTAAATTGCTATTCTGTATACACTTTCCAATATATTTACTATATGACGACTTATCTTATTTTAAAATAAGAAAGAAGGGGATATGTGCATATTTTAGAGTTTAAATCAATTTATTTATCTATATAAATTTACTTCCAAATCCACCTGCCATTAATTTTTCATGTTAGTATTTATATAAATATTTTTAATGATTACATATAATCTGTTGAATAATCATATTCAACTAGATTATTTTGTTCTAATGTTTTTTAATCTTTTGGGGGAAAACCTTTGTTTTGAACTATATTTATAAAATTATCTGATAAGACTTCAAATCTGTGCGAGTATAAATAACGCTGAAAGTTCATACCTTAGACTATAATAAACTTACCATCGTAAGATGAAGATCTACGCTTTCATAAGTCTTTTGTTGGCCATTTTGGCGCTTGCAGTCGGTACGTTATATACTTTATATTACTTTTGAATAATCGGAAAAATTTAATTATAATGAAATAATTTTATTCTAGCAACACCAAATCCTGAGCCAAAACCTGAACCTAAGTGGGGAGGTGGCGGTGGTGGTGGTGGCGGCGGTGGAAAATTGTGGGGAGGCGGCGGTGGTGGTGGTGGAGGTGGCGGAAAATAGATTCTTTAACCACATACTACATACATTATCACAGGCGATTTTTTTTTAGAATTTGTTTCAATTTAACAAAAAATCATTTATAATCTGTTACAAATCGCTAATCAATCAAGAGTTTCGACATAAAAAAAAATAAAATGTTTCAAAACTGAATAAATATCTTTTATTTTTAATTAATTTAAAAGGAATTTGGAAAGCCTATAGAAATATATGTTACTTCTAAAACCTGCTTGGTATCTTTTTAGATGTAGGCTGTTTTTAAATCTAATTATGCTTAACAATACAATTGAAGTTAAACTAAAATTGTTTGTTATTATATACTGATAGCATATAATATACTATGGACAATGTTTTGGAATCATAAGACGTTTTTGCAATTTAACACTGACTCTGAGCTTCAAATTTGTAAGGATACAAGTCTCAAAAATATAATTATTTACGAATAAATAAATATAAGAAATAATTCTAAGATCGCTGATGATGGGTATTTCGCTATTCTCGAAACAACTTTATAATCTGCCAAAAATTTAAATAATAAAAAGTACTTCTAGGTTTCACTACTCTTCGAAACCTCAATATTTATTTAATAATTATTATTTACCTCTCGATGAAATATATATATTAAAATAGAAGTTCATTTGAACTTTAAAAGTGATAATATCAAAATTTTAAAAATTGGTATTGATTACCTTGGTTGTCGGTGGGTACAGAATTCATTTTAGTACACTGCATACTATTTTGCTAAATATGCCAATCCTTAACTATATTGTGTGTTTTCTATTGAAAATATTTATTAGTAAATATGGCACAAACCGAAAAAATAAATGAACCTAATAATAGGTTTCAACTTCGCTTACATAAAATTTATTGACTATGATATGACATCAAATCATTTCGCATATGTATATACGACTTTTTAACTTTTCAAAACATTTTCATTATATTCATTTTTCTTACTATAATTTCTTTTCAATTAATAAATTATTGCGTTAGTAAGGTAGGTAGTAGAGTGCTAACATAAAGCACTTTAAAATCTTAAAATCTTTCATTTGTTTAATAAAATTAAAAATTATAATGTTTTATTTTTAAAATTGAAATTAATTATTTTATACAATCGAAATAGTAAGTCAATTGATTATGATGCTATATTTATTATTACGATACTGCTAGGATGTACATTATTTTCTTAAATCATTTTCATGTTACATATATGATTTATTTTCTTCGATTTTATGTAAACAGACTTTTAAATATATATTGTACACTAATTCGTACAGTCATTGCTAAATCTTTTTAATCTGCCGCATTACATTCTTCTGCGGTATTCAATGACAATATCCTGATAAAATTGAAATAATGTTCCAAAAATTATTTGGCTTTTATACCACTTTATACCACATCTACTTTACATCAATATATCACAGCTTTCAGTTTTAATGAAGTCACTTTTGAGTATTTAAAAGTGCCTCAAATTTAATTTCTTGTCATTAAAATCGTTTCACAAATATTTCTTTGGACAAAGTAAAATCTTTGACAGTAATTTTTGGAGTGTCTATTTCGATCTCTTATGAATTAGTATTGTACTATTTCTGTTGAAATTTGTAAGTATTATCATTTCCAATTCTTCAATAAGTCATGTTTTAGTATTATTTTGGCTAGTTTGTTTGGAAATAATTTTGTACTATATATAAAAATATAATGCGATACTCTTGTAATAAAATGAAAAAAGTAGTCTTATTTTTTTTTTTATTTCTTTCATTAGAGTTTTTATTTATTTTTTACATGATCATCAATTTAAAGCTAGGTAGCATTTATTTTCCACCACCACCTCCACCACCACCGCCACCTCCCCACAATTTGCCACCGCCACCGCCGCCGCCACCACCACCGCCAGGCATAGGTTCAGGATTCGGTTGAGGATTTGGAGTGGCTATAATAAAAAATTGATTCATTTAATTCTTGTAATTTTCATCCTTAATTCACTATTAGGCCCTTCCAAACATTGTGCCTTTAACTTACCAACTGCCAATGCCAATAAGGCTAATAAAAAGCTTATGAAAGCGTAAATCTTCATTTTAGAATGCTACGTTTAACAATGTCTAGATTCATAATTTGAGCTTATATATATACTTGAATTTATATTATATTTTATATTCACATTGAATTGTACGCGTACATGAGATAATTTTATTCAACTTGATCGACAGCCACAAAGTTTTTTCCAACAGATTAGAATAAAATTAGAACAAGATCAGTTTAATTTGATTACCTATTCAAATAGCATGTAATAAGCAATATCAATATAAAATTAACAAAAAAAAAGAAATCCACTTTATAAAATTCCAATTACTCTATAAATAGTCGCCCATAACGAACTACGTTATTAAAAAAAATAAATAAAAATTAAAACGAATTTCTTTAGAATATTAAACGCTTTGGATAGATATTAAAGGATTCCCCTCAACATGATACTTTTTTTAAGTATAATTTTTATTAAGTATAAATAATGCTTAAATGACATACATTTCAAATACATATCTTTAAGATGAAATATACATGCAAAGTATTTACTTGTAATTCATCACAACCTCTTCATAATTATCAGAATATTAACTATATAATTCGGTTAACTATAACTAAAAAATAGTTAAATAGTAAATTTAATTTTAAATAAATATATTTTAACTTTTAATAATTTTGTGATTGTGTTGTGATTTTAATGCATATCTGTAATTACATACAACATACATATACATATATATATATTTATACATATATATTTATATATATGTATATATTTATTATGAAGTTCAAAGTAAGCGTACTGAAACATCTCAAATTACTAATAAACTCTTGATTCTAGACTAGATAACTAAGCGCTTTCGTGAACTTACTTTGGTACCAAATCAAATCAATAAAAAATGTGACTTTTACTTATTATTATTATTGTTAAATAATAGGTTATGAATGTACTCCGATGTAAAACATCTATTATGCGCCTAAAAGTACAACTAAAACAATACTAGACTATTTATAAATCTAGTAATTGTTGTGGGCTTAATTTTTCATATTTGATTCGATTTGAGACTAAGATTCCTTTTCCAAGATAGTCAAGTCTACATCTTGCTGCCGTTGGGCAGTTATATAGAACGCGTTCTGACATTTCCTTCACCTTATGATAGATAGTACATGAATCACCTATTAATTGAGTCTTCAGTGTCCTGTAAGAAGTTCAGTGTAGAGTTAAGTAAATTTCGTTTCTCCCATTCACATCTTAAGTTATTTATGAAGCTATTTGTTACCCCGCAAAAGGGTTCTGGACCAATGAAAAGAGTACATGCATTCTTCCTTGATAGGGAGTCTGCTGTTTTATTGCTCTCATGCCCTTCATATCCCGGTACCCACATAAGAGCAACATAGTTTCTCGATGCTAGAGCATTGAGAAGTTGAAAGCATTTCCAGACCAACTTTAATTGGAATGAAGAATTTGCTAAAGATTTGAAGAGCTTCTTGCCCCTCCTAAAAAATGTGTATTTTGGTATTTTCTCTAGGCATTTTCTCGCACATAGCTGTAAGGCATGGACCTCTGCCGGTATAATGGAAGCAGTTTTTCCTGTTGTAATTGCTTTGCGGAATTTCGGCTCTACAATTCTTTTTTCTATACTGCCATCTGCTCTTTTGGAGTCATCAGTATAATATAATTGTGAATACTGTTTTAAAATGATTTCATTATTTCTCCAAGTTAATCGGTCACTGATGTTTGGCTATTATTATCAAGAACGTGTTAAAAGTGAAAAAATCACTGCAGCAGTAATTTATTGTCTAAATACCACTGAAAGCGATATTGCCTATATAAAATTCAAGGTATTTTCACAATTAATTACTATTCCAGTGATTTTTTTATTTTTAACATGAAATAATGTTCTTAACGCACTTAATCGAAAACAAAATTTAATGTTTACTGATCGTATTCGTAACTAATTCGGTATATGTGTAGAAAAAAAAACAGCTCCTAAAGATTATACCTACAAAAAAAATTATCTTTATTAAATAAAACTGCCGATCAGTGGTTTTTTGTACCCAAATCAGATAGCGTTAATATGTAAAGATTGATATATAGAGATTTGGTTTGAATAAGTCTGCGGAACGTACCACGCAGCGCAGATACAATCAGTTTATTGTAAAAAATATTTAATAACCGTATGATGTGACATAATAGTCCTCTGAAGTAGCTTTAACAATAATGTGATCTTGTCTTCTGTATTATTTTCTATGTGTATATGTTTAGTCGTTGCTTTTCTTAAATAAATCGGATATATCGAATCAATTGGAAATCATTTAAATCATTGGAACATTTAAAGAACTTTAGTGAGTATGCGGTGTTAGTCCCTCAAAGATTAATTTTGCACATTGTCTTTCATTCGGATCAACCGACGAGATCGTATAACTGAAATTATTATTTATACATTAAGAACATCAATTATTTTTGGACTAAGCACATTTTATATTTAAAACTCTACTCTATTCACTCTTTATAGTACACTTAAATCTAAGTAACTTTTAAGTTTTTTCAAAATTAAGTTAATAATAAATATTAATAAAAGAGAGGAAAAGTGTGGAAACTTAATTCAAGGCCTCACAGCTCACATCACGACCTCACAGCTTACATCACATCCTCCCTTATCTACCAAATAAATTTTTTCCACGATAATGCAGAAACTAAAGTAAACAACCTCTTAAAAAAGTATAACAAACCTTCCCTAATTTAATTAAGCGTGCTTTCACGTTAAAATAAAATCTATAAAGTATATATAATATAAGTATATTATATACTATGTATTTGTTATTTTTATTTTACATTCAAATAATATTTAATTTACTCTATCATTTCATGGTTCAAAACTCAAAAAATAATAAAATCAAAAGTATTATTTCCTATTAGTGAACTTAATAGTCTATTAGCAACTGAATAATGATAGTTCCGTTTTAAATATTTTAAGAATCTCGTGTCCAATGCTCCGCCCACTTCGAATGAAGAACTGTGGCGGGCAACCAAATATCTTCAAAGGATATTTTATATATCGAAAGCAAAAGGCTACCAAAATGATGAACTGTGTATAAAGAATCTTATAGAATACCTCATACCACAGTGTATACCACAGTGTTTACTTGAAATGCTCGAAGGTATTCATAGGTGAGGAATATCGCCAATAATCTAGAAGCATTTCTGCTTTTATGAAGCTTGCAACTAGTTCCATGAAAGCAGATTGACACCAATTGGAATTATTGAAAACGATATGTAGACACCTTAAGTTCTTCTCACAGATTCAGAGAAAATATAGTTTTAATAGCAACACAAGATGATCACCTCAGTCGATTGCTTGACTTCAAACAATGAAGAATCAATTTTTTTCGTATTTAAAAGCAGTATAAATATTTTATTATAGTTTATGTAAAAATTTACATCTAAGTTCAAATTATAATTGTTTAACAACTTCCACCACCTCCACCACCGCCACCGCCGCCACCAGCTCCGGCACCACCACCTCCTCCTCCACCGCCGCCTCCGCCACCGCAAAGGCTAACTCCTCCACCGCCACCGCCGCCGCCACCTCCTCCAGGACTAGGATAGGCTAAAAAATTATTTTTAAAATATTAATTTTAACAAGGCAAAAAGGATAATTCCAAATGAAATACTCACCAGCAGCGAAGGCAATTAGGACTAAAATAAAAGAAATAATTGCATATAATTTCATTTCGTTTTACAGCAATAAATGCAAATTTCTAATGAAATGAACTTGTTTTTATACCATTTTAACGAAATTTGTTTTTGCTTTATTTTACATTGAAAAGGTCTTATCAGCTGTGTAAGGTTACAAAGAGCATTAAAATTGATATCAGCTTTAAAAATTAGTATATGCAGTTTTTTATTTTCTATAGGTATATTAATAATAATAATAAAAATATATATTGATTATTTAATATAAAATGATTTTTACGTTTTCAAATGCGGTCAACTCTACCGCATTGTTCTTGTATGGACACATTGACTTAAACTAAATATTTATATCATAGAACGTATATATCCAGAATTACTACTGATACCATTATAATATGTTATGGATAAGAAATTTATATTGTATTTTATTTTTTAAGATCATAATCGCTGATAGAAAGTATAGTTAAAATTTTAGTCATTATTTAACAAGTCTAAAAATTACTACACCCTTTCGATAAGTATGACCGAGTTCTCTATGTTACTGTACAAAATTTGGAAACTATGTGTTTTTAGAATTATACTTTAGAATGTACTGCGATGTAAGCAATAGTAAAACTAGTTTACTAAATTGTTGAAAACATCCACAGTGAATTATGTATGCCAAGAACTATTATCTATTTTACTTTCGGTTCCAGCAAATATTTGAGCAGACTAGCTGCTTTCGATCACAAGTATACCTTAACAGTGAAATATTTTAATAGCTTGAGTGATATTGAAACTCCATTTTGCATAATAATATCTTTTATTATATGTTTTATATATAAAATAATTATGTCAACTTAATTTGCTGGTATTACGAAAAATTCTTCAACAAAGTTTACTTTTATATTAAAAATATAGATGGACAAACAGTCATACAGGCATATAGACCTACAAAGTTATAAATAGATTGATGCATGATCGGTTATCGCTACATAGATTGTAGATTTGTATAATAAAGTGTATGGATTCTATAATCTGCGGTGTCGTTTAACAAAATATTTAAGACACCTAATACGCTATCGTCAAGGTTACAAAACTAAATATATATTTTCATAAAATCATAATTTTAAAATTTACATTAATAATTAATTTTTTAAAACTCTAGATTTATGAAATCATTACAAAATCTACAAGTCATATTTTAATAAATTGATAAGGTATTTATAACAAAAATCACGAATCAGATAATGTTTGATTAAGGAATATAATTAACTAGAAATCATATATATATTAATTCTAAATGTAAAAGGCTGGGATATTAGTAAAGTTTTATTTTTTTAAATTTAAAATGAATTTTTCTCTAGTTTTGTGTGTCATTATGAGGTATATTTTGATAAGTGATGCTTAATATTCTCCAATATGAAGACACGGTAGTGCCGAAAATAGATTAAGAAAAGTAAGTGGTGGTGGTGGCCATAGTAGTCCATATAGGGGTACTGGTGGTAAAGTTGGAATTAAAAACAGAGATGGTTGTGTATATTTTAGAAAAAAATATAAGATATGGACGACATTATTCATTGGGTGGTTAAAAGACGATTTCAAAAATTGTTTAAAACAAGTTCAGTAATTCAAATTTAAAATGAAATTGGAATATCTTGGAAAAAAACATTTTAGCTTACTTATATACAATTTGAATTTTTCTCAACTCATTACAATTGGTTTCCTTTACATCAAATTACTATTTTTAATACTTTAATGTAATTTGGTAATTTTCCACCAAAAATAAATTCAATACTCTTATTGAGATGCCCGGCAGAGATATCAGTCTTTTGATAGAGTTACTTACAGGTCATTATACATCAAAAAACCATGCCAGAAAATTGAATCTCCCCTTCAATCATACCTATCGCAGCTGTAGACAGGACAACGAAATTGCCCCTCATCTTCTCTGTCTTTGCCCAGCTTATGTACGACAGCGACTAAATATTTTAGGGACCCCTTCCTTGAGGATCTTGAGAAAGACCTCGCACTAAAAATAATTTTCAGCTTCGCCAAAGATTCTATGTAATTTTAAACCCTAAGTTTCTTCTCTACACGGCAACTGAATAGGCCAATATGCCTAAGTGGATCCCCTACAGACCGCCGGTACAACCTTATCTATATACAGTAGAATCTTTATCAATCGAAATCTAAGGGAAGAGCAAAATTGTTTGAATAGTAGAAGTTTAATATATCTCAACAAGTTTGAGATATATTAAGGTTAAGAAAATAATCAAAATTGTTTATTTTTATTACAAATGTGTTTATTTGTATTTTTAAAAAAAAATAAATACAAATGAATATAATTTTATATGTATATATATTTCATTACAAATTATGTGTTATGAAGTACTTACAATGGTTATATTTCATAGCATACATAATGTCGATATATCTTTATCAGTATTTGATATTACCTTCATAATAAGGAAATATAAATAAGGAAATTTTATAGCAATGTGATTGCGTTGTTGCCCAAAATCGTATAAAACTAGGAAACCAAATTATTGAAAAATTTCAATTTGTAATGAATGACCTTCCTATACTTCGAAATTTAAATTCTTTGTAATATATAGTTGAGGTAGGTTATATATTTGTAAAGAGACACTTTCAAAAGATAAATTATTTACATTTTATATCAGCAACCAATGAATCATTTCCCTTAACATCAATTAATTTATATCGTGACTTCTACAAATTATAAATATACAAAATATAAAATAAATATTGTTTAGATATGTGAGAGTTCCATTTGATGCTTATTTTATAAGGTGTGCTATAGACAAGTAAAAAAGAAAATTAGATAAATTAGATATAATTAGAAAAAATTTAAATATGCCTTTTAAACACCCTCAATACTCCTTTCACATATAATTAGTTCCATGTTAATTATACACTTCAATTATATGTACGTATTAGTGTGTCAAAATGTTTAAACATTAGAAATGTTCGAACAGTTTGAGTATAATCGAATTCGAAGATTTCTATCTATCTTGAAACGTTCGAAAATGGTCCACTTGCTTAAACAGTTGATCTGTTATATTTTTTCTTTTATATCCGTTTTGTTTTATATATTTACGATTGTATGTTCGAAGACCGTGTATAGCTCGAATGGGTCGCTGTACTAGGGGCACACTAAATACCATATTCGGAACTTCGAAAGCTTGAATAATATTAGAACTATATTATGTATGCAATTCAACTCTCCACAGATATTACGCAAGATAAATATATGTTAAAGTAAATTTATAGTACATTATAGAGATTCAATTCTCTGTGATATCTTCTTCTCCCTTCTTTTCCCAGCTTAATAGCTATCAAATAGCTTAACAAACCTAATACACTCTTTATTTAGGATAGTGTGAATATAGTACTCATATTTTTAAGTATAAATAAATTACATTTCAAAACCCTCAATGAATACTGTATTTGATTTATGAATCATCACAAGATCTGCAAGTCAAATTTTAAAGATTTGTTTAGGTGTAAATTAAAAAAGTCACGAAACAATCAATGCTTGATTAAGGAATGTAATTTACTACTTAGCATGTGTACTAATTTTTAGTATAAAAGGCTGGAAAAATAGTAAAATTGCATCATTTTGAGTTAAGATGAAATTCTTTATAGTTTTGTGCATTATTCTAAGCTGTATTTTGCTAAATCAAGCTCAGTATTATCCTGGTCGAGGAGGTGGAGGTGGCGGAGGCAGACTAGGTGGAGGCGGAGGAGGCGGTGGCAGATCATTTGGCGGTGGTGGTGGTGGTATGAGAGGATATGGTGGTGGAGGTGGCCGTTATGGAGGAGGTGGTGGAGGAGGTGGTTATCCATGGGGCAGATAAAAACAATATTTCAAAAATTGTTTAAAACGAATCAAGTAGTTTTGATACGCAAAAATTTTTATTATATCAGTTAAAAATACCAAAATGATTATTTGCTTTGGTGGAATTGCATAAATTGAATAATAAATTGAATTTTTAAATTCATTTAGAAGAATAAAAAACTAATTAGCAAAATAATACAAATTTTGCCTAATTATGTATAAAATTGTTCACTTTTGGTTAAGTAATTTATTTAAAAATTTTCTTATTAAATTTAATCTTTATTAAATTTTCGAGCAAATGTTTTATTCGCGATTAAAGTCTATTATTTGTATATTGTACTATAAAGTTAGAAAATAATATGGTGGATTAGAATCTAAATAAGTTTTACAATATGATTATATTATGATTATATGATTATAATAAATTTAAAAAAGACAAAAACTTATATGCTTACATATAATTTTATTATCAGTTTTAAATATAGAAGACATATTAAAACCACACAATTAAAGTAAATCACTAAGCCTAATCAAAAAGTATTTTCCTGTAAATCTATAATTTTGTAGAAATTTAGTAAATTTCCTAAATTTGCAAAATTCAGATTTTGCTTAGAAAGAGTCTAAGATGTTACACTGAATTTTCAAACTGTGAATAATTGTAACTTACAATAAAAAATCTTTAATACTAAAATGGTTTTACTTTAAATCTTTAATTAGAAGTATTAGGAGTACTCTGTCTTGCAAACTCATTACAAGGTGCACGAAATGCACAAATTGCGCGAGCTTGCAATGTACAACAACAAAATACACACACAAAGTTTTTGCAATTACTTGCAATCTTGCTATACTTAAACCCATGCATATATGCTTGCAATGAAACAAATAAAAAAAACAGCTGTTTTGACATCTTCTCTGTTTGCTTCTCATATGGATGTGGTATGCTGCAAAAATAGCTGTTTCATTTTGATGCTAAAATTCTGCTACAGAGGTGTTCTTGTACTCTTGAAATTTTAGTATAGCATTCTTGTATTACGTACACTTTGCAATGACTTTGCAAGACAGTGCAAAGTAAATACCCCTAATAATAGCACAGTAATTGAGGCACTCCTTTAATCCCATGATTTGTACATGATTATCTGAAGTACTTACAAAATATATTCTATTAAAATAAAAACTATTTAAAAATAATGCGTATAAAAACAAAAAGAACAAACTTTGCTAAGAGTTACCGCTAGAAAAAAAATATATATTTGATTGTTAGTGAAAATAAATTAAAAAAAATAATTTTAATTAATTAACTAGTTGAATATTAAATAAATTTGTAGCTAACAATTATCATTTCGTAATAACGTTTGTGGAATTCCCAATATCACTTGAGGTCAATTTTAAAGATAACGCCTAGAACACCAATATTACTCTAATATTTTGTGTTTTTATTTTACTTATAAGAAAAGTATATAAGGCGCTTTTTTCAGATAATAACATTAATAAAAATGAAATTCCTTGTCTTATTATCAATAATTATTGGCTGTATTTTATACGGCCATGCACAATATTATCCTGGTGGCGGAGGCGGACCATTCGGCGGTGGAGGAGGTGGACCAATTGGTGGTGGTGGAGGTGGACCGTACGGTGGTGGTGGAGGCGGACCATACAGAGGTGGTGGTGGACCATATGGGGGTGGAGGCGGTGGACCATATGGGGGTGGAGGCGGTGGACCATATGGAGGCGACAATTCATATGATGATTGATTGAACAACAAAATTTTAATTGTAAAATATGAAAATTAAAATGTTTCCCAATAAATCTTAAATAATAAATAAAGTAATTATGTATAAAAAAAAAGAAGTAAAATAGAGTTTGAACATTTATATTTTAATATATTGCATTTGAATTACAATATATATTCATAATAATAAAAGTGGTTACTTAATCCGTACAGTATTGGTTGTTTGCAAATTTTTTGTATATACAGTGACATATTGTTACCAACATATTGTTTTAATATAATAAAAAATATTATTTAAAAACTTATGAAATTAAATATTACTATTTTCTTAAGACTAATAAGTAATTGGTTTTTATTATATATAAAATAAAATAATATTTTTTTATATACAATATTTTTTATATATTTTTTAAAAAAATTTATTTTCTTATTGACCAATTTTTTTTAATAATAATTTAAACGGGCCAATAGTTGGTCAATACTTTATACATTTACATTATAACAACATTATAGTACCCTGAAGATGACTGTAGAATGTAGTTGAAATAATGGTAGTAATGGATTTAATTAAAATAATTTTAAAACCTCAAATAAGTGTATTATTTAAATATTGTTTAATTAACTCGTTTTAAAAAAAAATTATTATTAAAATTTTTTGAAGTGGTTTTTTCGAACAGTTGTGAACTACAACAACAAAAATTTTATTTTTTATATTATTTTAATTAATTGAAAATTTGGCTGAACATTAAAATTTTTTATAAAAAGAAGACACCGGTTTTTCTTTAAAGATACGTGTAACAGGACTAATAAAGATAAAATTTTGTTTAGTAAGGTTTGACAATTTATAATGAATGGGTTAGCTCTTGCACAACGGTTCCAAATTGTGGAAATTTACTTTAAAAATAGATCTATTCGCGGAGTTCGTATCGAAAAATTGTGTTTAGTGATGAAACTATTTTTGATTAAATGGCTACATTAATAAGCAAAATTGTCGTATATGGAGCGAAGATCATCCTCAAGCTGTTAACGAATTATCTTTACATCTGTTAAAGTTAACTGTCTGCTGCGATTTACACGATAGCGAGATAATTATTCATTATTTCTTTAGAAATGTGGAAGGAGTTGCCATTACAGTGAATAGCTAATACTATAGAGTTATACTGACTGAATTTTTGTTTCTAAAAATTAATCGGTTAAACATCAACGATAATTAGTTCCAACAAGACCCCGATTTATGGCGCAATTTGCCATAAAGTGCCATACAGCTTATCAATCGATTTATTGCGAAATCAATTTCGTAACAACTTTACTTCCAGAAGTGGTCCTGCTGTGCGTGGCCGTCTTTGTGCGATTTAACGCCTCTCGATCACTTTTTATGGGGCTGGGGCTATGTTCAGTTTTTGGTTTATGCCGATAATCGACAAACCAGCAACTTTTGAAGTATTTGAAGCCAATGTTCTTGTCACCAAGGAAATGTCATACGGCCACATTTATTCAAAAAAATAGTCAAAAATTTGACTGATTGAATGGACCATGTTACTTGTAGCCGAGGAGGACACATCATCAGCCGAAAATCATATTCAAAAATAACTGTCAGAAAATTATCCACCAGATCATAATAAAAAAAATATCAATGCAATAATATTGCTATGTTGTATTATCATTAAAAGTTCTTATGCAGCTAAAAAAACGCTCAATATAACCAATAAGTGATAAGAAGTACTACTTCAGTTGACATATTTTCCGACAGATATGCTTACTGACAAACTTAAAATGACCCATGAATAAAGTTCCCTACGACTTGGATAACACGAGGACTATCTTCAAAATCTGGATTGGGTTTTAAGATAGGATCTTCATCGCCCGTAGAATGCGTAAACTGTCAGACATATACGAATTAAAATATATAGTATGTAAGCAGAGGAGAGTCATATATTATAAAAATATTTTTAAAAATTTGTTAAATACTGTTTTTATTTTACTAAACAAAATTTATTTAAGAATTTCGTAATAATTATTTCTAGATAATATATGATGTTCTTACTGAATCTAATATCGATTACTTCATATAGTATTTAGATATAACAGACGTTCTGATGGATAAATAAATGGTTTGAATGGTTTGAAGTTTTTGTGTGCATTTTATTATATTATTATGTTTGTATACATTTATCTGTTATATTAAAACGTAATAATGTGACAATCTTGTACTTATTCTGTGGTTATATTTTGATGTATTAAATAAATATTTTTTTATGGGGAAATTATTTTACACTATATATGGCTTCCACGAAATATATGATGAAATAAGAATTATTTAATACTAATACACATTACTTTGTTTTTTTTATTTGTTTTTTTTTAGTTGATTATATTCTTATATTTTTTCAATAATTTTGAATACGTGATACTTTGATAACTGATCTGTTTTTAATCTATTGGGAATTCCTGCGCTTAAATTTCGCTGTCGCTGCATTTCAATTAAATTATTTGTAAAAAATGAAAATTAATTTGAGTATAAATATAGGCCTTAGTTAATAATTTTAATATTATTAAACTCATCTTCACAAAATGAAGGTTTACGCATTCTTAAGCTTTTTGTTAGCCTTTTTAGCGTTAGCAGCTGGTAAGTGCAAATGCAAAAATTCTGAAAATGTATAAAAGACTTAATATAATTAATATTTTTTTAGCTAATCCAAATCCTCAACCCAATCCTGAACCAATGCCAGGTGGTGGTGGTGGCGGTGGTGGAGGAGGTGGCAAATTGTGGGGAGGCGGCGGCGGTGGCGGTGGTGGTGGTGGAAAATAAATTACAACTACCTAATGTGCTACAGAACAACAAATAAAATGTTAAAATAAAATTTTAGTTAATTGATTTTATTTGTGTCAACAATTCAGTAACACCATTAAATGATCAACATTTTTATATTTGTGTATTAGAATCTGAAATGCAGAGACCCTAACAATATTATGTTATCAAAAACAATAATTATTATAATTTTTATTATTATTATATATGGTACTGTGCCCCCTTCTGAACAGAGAGTATGACTCCAAACCCTGTTGCTTCGATAAAGAGTCGTATAAAACCTACTTTAAATAATTTAGTTGGCTTTTCCGTAAGAATATACATTCCCAGGAGTTTCTTCCGTATGTGCAATAGCACAGAGCAATATAAAAGCACATGTACGGTTGACTGTTCATTCCTTTCGCAGAATCTACAGTTTGTTGGTATTTCAGTTTACAGTGTCCTGTTAAGATTCTTGTGATGATTCTGCTTTTTTTTTTTTTTTGATAAGTTCATACAATCCTGGTATCTCCTATTGTCAGAGGTACCAATAAGTGATTTGGATTTTTTTAAACCTGATAGGTCATCGCAATAATTCTTTTTGTTGTGGTTCTACTTAATTATTATTTTTATAACAGAAAGGAGGGTACTGTGTCCTATTCCACAATACCCTAGTTTATCTATGTATTCGTTTCTGCGTACGCCAGTGCCAGGTACCCAGAGAATCGAAACTTCGCTTTTGAGGTTTAGCTTTTCTAGTCATTGTTGCACAAGTATTCAAATCACGAAATGAAGCTATATTTTTTCCCTGATGTTTCCGTTCAATATTGCAAAGTACGCGCACAAATATTGCGTAAATTTTCGCTTTGAATATGCTAGTATATTTTTCCAGCGCTTCCCAATGCGTTTTGACCGATACAACAATGCCCGCTCTAGCACCTTCCTGTGTAAGCAAGCCGTCAGTTAACCATGAGATTGTGCCATCTATTAGCTGATAGGTTTTTATTAAATATATATTTTTTGTGTGAATCAAAATCATAAAATAAAACTGGCTAAATACGGTTATTTACTTTTAAATCGATTTAATTGGATATTGCTTTTGATCTAGATCCTTTATGAAAAATCAAAAAAAATATTTAGAAAACTTTTAATAAGTATTTAATTGGCGAAACCTGTGGAGTAATATTATGCCTACTGGCCCCGATATGACAAAAATTATTTTTATGAGAACATTATTATTCATTAATCAAAGATATTCCGAGATGATGAAGAAGTTGTTGCAAATCACTAATTTATACAAATTAGAGGAAAAAATTTCCAAGTTATCTGTTAGTTTGTCACGATTCTGTATTTCATCCTATAGTTAGCTATCATTATAGGCACCTATTATTATTCTAATATTTTATCAATATTTATATATATTACGAATTCATATCCTAAACAAAGAAAAGTATTATGTGCTATGTATTGTCTTAGATAAGGTACTTAATTCTTAAGAAAATCTTATATAAAATTAAACAAAGAATTTTTGTAATATTTTACAATGAGATATTTTTATAGATTCGCCATTATTATTGTTCATATTTTGCATATAATTATAAGTTTTTGGTATAAAAGGTAACACAAAAAACAAATTTTTTAAAAGAGGGAAAACAATGAAGCTATTTGTATTTTTTTTAACTGTTTTTAGTAGCATATTTATATGCTCCACAACTGTTCCTTTCACTTTACGTGCTCGAGGTAATAAAAATGGAAGAGGAAACGTAGACCTCTATGGACCTTTCGGATTACCTCTCGGATTCTTTAATGCTGGTGTTGCTACTCCTCGATCACCAAATGCTAGGCCTAATCAACCACCAGCATCAGCACAATTTCGACCACAACCCCCACCCCAAGCAGCAGCGCCACTTCCGCCGCCACCACCACCACCACCACCACCGCCGGGACTGCCACCACCACCACCGGGACTGCCACCACCACCACGGGGACTGCCACCACCACCACCGGGACTGCCACCACCACCGCCAGGTTTTCCCTTTTAATTATTACTAATAATTTGCTAACATATTCGGGTATGTAAGGAAAAAGAAAGACTATAAAACACTTTAAATGTATATCCTTTACATGTCAAACGATGTCAAATGCAGCAATTTAGCATTTCAGTCTTTAAAATCCAAATAAATGATATCTATTATTAATCTGAAATTATTCTTTTTCTTTATTTTGACACTTTTTAAGATTAAGAGAATATCAAATATAATTCAAAGTATATAAATCAAAGCATATGAACAGATTTTAGATAAAATAAACTATTTGAATTGGATATGCATTTAAGACGATTTTGTGAGCATAATTTTCTAGATTCTTGAACATATCAAATATAGATTAGTTAGTGTGTCCGACTTTTAGTCTGTCCGACTTCTACTTTGCAATATACGAACTAAAACACTTACTTTTCCTCTGCTGGATTTATCCCCGCGGGGCCGCTTTCGCATTACGTCAGGAAGGATCCCTTAGAAGATGGCCAATCATGCCATATGCTTCTCGTAAAACCTACGTCCAGGCTCCCACTACTGATCTAAATTGGTGAATTTCTTTACAATAAAACCGCATTGGATTCAAGTACTTCAGTTTACTAAATTTAATATGTTTTTAAATGTCAATGTGAACTTAAATAGTCGGATTTATTATTATTGCTTTTAAATTGCATTCATACTTTAATTTACATTATCGATCATTTCATTTGTACCTCTACATTTTAGACGTGTTAAATTTACCAACTACATTTCGAATAGTAAACTTATTATGATATTTTTCCAAAAAATTTTAATGATTTTTAAAAACGATTAAAAAGTTGAAAATGATCCATTATCAGGGTTTGAATTGCTTGCTGAAAATTAGCAAAAGCAACCATATTTTGACTAATGCATAAATATTGACCAGTCAATTTTTGACAAACGACTAATTGCTAACGCATTGCATATGAAAATGAAATAAGAATATGCATTAGCAACAGCAAAAAACGTAAACTGGTTTCATTTTGATTGCTTGCTAATAGTCAATTTTACATTTTTGACTATTATGCATTTGGAATATATGCAACTTGCTTGCTTATGCGTTAGTTGCTTGTGTTTTGCTATTAGCAAATGTGTATGGATTTCTTTTTTTGTTTTTGTTTTAAGGGAATGTGTACGCATTATTTCTTTGTCAATTATGATGTGTGCGTACAATTTGTATGCAATTAATATAATTTTATTTGTAATTAGATTATGCCTAAACTTATGTTTATTTTAATTATTAAATTTATGATATATATGATATATATATATATATATAGATAGATATATATATATATATATTAATTATTAACTATTAATTCATATATAAATAAATATATATATATATATAATATATATAAATAATTTTGTATTAAAATTAAAATATAACTTAATATTTAAAACAGTTTAAAAAGTGAAATTTTTTATTTTATTTAAAAAACGTTTTTATAAATTAATGTGTTTAATAAACGACCTACGCCCGGTAAAAAACATAAAAACTTTGTTATCAATTATGATTAAAAATTTTAATTTGATGTTATTATTCTTCTAAATTTAACTCCCATTCAGGAGGTTGAAACAACGGCATATCATCAATAGCATGGTCCAAAAATTGCGGATTTAGTTTAACCATGAGAATGTTTTCTAAAGTTTCATGATTAAGACGATTTCGTTGATCAGATAATATCAATTTTAGTGACGAAAAAGCATGCTCGATGGTAACCTTAACTGTAAATGACATTAATTTGATTATTCATATTATGCTAAACGAATATTTTACCTGAGTTGGTGGAATTGCAAAACATATATTCGCAAGCGCATGTAATTCTGGATCAGCAAACTGTCTTTCCTTCCAAAAGTCCAATACATTTATATCAACACGTTGAAAAGGTAACTTCAAAATTTCAATTTTGGTGTAGACGTCCATGTTGTTATTACTTTGAGCTTCGAAGTGGTTAGAAAGATAATCATTAAGGTACCTATCCTCATATTCGAGAGTATCTTCCATTTGTGTGCAATTTGTGGCTGAATTCTTCTTATCAATTAGGAAACCTGAGTTCAGTGCTGTCAGTCTATTATATAGTCGTTTTAAAAACAGAACAGCTTCGTTTTTTTGCTCTACAGTCAATGTATGGCTAAAGCGTGGGTCCAAATACAAACATGCGTTTAAGCTTTTGTTTGTTAAAAGTTTTACAGTTCTCACTTCTATATTATGCAACAAATTCGTTCCAATTTTATTTACAAGAGAACTTTTATCATCAAAATCATTTACAATTTTTTTGGTTATAAGATTGCACTTCATCCACTGTGCAAAAAAATTTCCATAATGCAGATGTTCTTCTTGAAATTTTATGATTGTTCGTTGTAATGGTTCAAACACAGTAGAATAACTCTTCACAAACTCCCAAAATTCATCGCATAATTCAAAATTCTCATCTAAAGATTTATTTTGTACAGACTCTACGTTGTCCAAAACTTCCTTGGCTGCATAAACTTTTTCTACCATATTATATGTCGATCCCCACCGTGTAGGACAATCGAGTTGTGGTAGAGTCAACTTTTTTAGTTCAAAAATTTCACGATAGCCGTTAGAATTTTTTTTGATGAATTAATAGTTCATAATTAATATATATATATATATCTATCTATATATATATATATATATCATATATATCATAAATTTAATAATTAAAATAAACATAAGTTTAGGCATAATCTAATTACAAATAAAATTATATTAATTGCATACAAATTGTACGCACACATCATAATTGACAAAGAAATAATGCGTATACATTCCCTTAAAACAAAAACAAAAAAAGAAATCCATACACATTTGCTAATAGCAAAACACAAGCAACTAACGCATAAGCAAGCACGTTGCATATATTCCAAATGCATAATAGTCAAAAATGTAAAATTGACTATTAGCAAGCAATCAAAATGAAACCAGTTTACGTTTTTTGCTGTTGCTAATGCATATTCTTATTTCATTTTCATATGCAATGCGTTAGCAATTATGCAAGCAATGCAATTAGCAACAGCAATTCAAACCCTGTCCATTATGCGGCTCCGATGTGGTTGCACTATTTAAGTGATATATTTTCAATTCGTGTTCCATCATAACATTTTTGTTTGTTTTGTTAAGCAATGCGTTTTCAAAAGTCTCTATAATATAGAGCTTGGCGGCAGATGTGATATATCCATGTCTTTTGTAAATGACAAAGTTTACCGTAGCCACATGAATACCTATTAGTTTGAATTAAATTTGAGGACATGAATTTGGAAAATATGTTAATTTCCCAGAACGGTGTCACAAGTCTGTTTTGTTTTGTTGCAACAAAATTGATATCGGATCCATGATTTCATGTTTTGTTGCCGTTACTTGCCCACCAAGATGATGCATTTGTTTTTGTGGACTTACATAAAAGATTGTGGTTATACAAATAATCATTTACTTACATAAAAGATTGTGGTTATACAAATAATCATTTACATTTCAAGGCATTGAAAACAAACACTCATCTAAATATAACTTAGCTATTGCCAGATTAGTTCAAACAAGAAAAAGGATTCAATACTGTGATATGTCTAGCTAAGAGCATTTAAATGATCTGAACTCGATTTAAACTTTCATTCCATTGAAAACAAAAACTCATATACCATAGTTATAAGTAAGCTATTGCCAGATTAATCCATACAAGTAATCGAAAATTACTTCAAAAGGATCTAATCCTGTGATATGCTAGCGAAGAACATTTAATTGATATAGCATTTCACACTTAATGACCTATATCCAATAATACATTAAAATAAAAATTTGATTAAAATGTTAGTGATTAGTGCGTTTTATTTACATATACTTTCAGATACCTAAATGTATGAATGATAACCTATTTTAGATTCTGATCTGATCATTTAGTAATATTAGAATATAACTTTAATCTAAGCACTTTATGGTTTGATGTATTTATGATATATGTACGTATATATGATATATCCTTAAAATGTGGTTGAGTAACTGCAATTGATAAAAAGTCACAATACTGTTAAAGAGACTAATACATTATCTAGATTTCATTTCATCAGGCTAAAAATATACACAAAAACAAATTACATTTTATCCTCGAACGCTTACGGTATTCATTATCTGAACTTATTATCACATTAGAAAATATTTGCATAACAAGCAAAGTTCATAAAAGAAAATGTCGAACTTTAAAAATACACAAAATGAATTGTTATTTATTACTATATTTTATTACCCGATTATGTTTAATATTAATGAGGAATTGTTTATATTTTGCTAAAATTGTTTTGGAGTATATAAAAGATTTCACCGCTGTTAGAACTTTTAAAGAAGAATAAACCATGAAGTTAATCATTGTCGTCTTGGCTATTCTTTGCTGCTCATATATGTGCAATGCTGACAATATTACAATTGAACGTATCATAGAAGCGCTAAGAGGTCTTATAAAGGGAAATAACAATGCCGATAATCGCACCCCTCGTGAACCTTTTCGAGCGCACAAAGATGTTAATTCACCTGGTAGCTTATCTGGAGGACCACCTAATGGGTTACCTGGTTCAAATGACTCACCACAAGAAGCAAGACCTTATGATCAACGCACTCCTCATGAAGCTTTTCAATCACACAGAGATGTTAACTCACCTGGTGGCTTATCTGGAGGACCACCTAATGGGTTACCTAATTCACTTGACTCACCACAAGAAGCAAGACCTTATGATCAACTCACTCCTCGTCAATCTTTTCGACCACACAGAGATGGTAATTCCCATGACGACTTGTCTGGAAGAGCACCTCATGGGTTACCTGGTCCACGTAGCTCACAGCAAGAAGTTAGAGCTTATTCGTATCAGGAACCTGGCCAACCTCTTGGAGTACGCTCATATCGCTCTTATCGCAGCCATGGTGCACTTCATTGATTACGTAAAAGTTTGTGTTGTAGTGGACGTGTTTACTCGCCTTGTGCTGCGCCATTATGATTGCCTCCATTTGAAAATCTTCCCGGCTTTCTTGGTCCTCGTTACAGGAATATTTGAAAATAAATTAAATCATGCTTATATATGAAAAACTTTTTAATAAAATTATTATTTTAATTTGGCTTATGACAATAAAAATGATGTTTTTAATATCATATGTATTTTTGGACAATTGAGTTTCCAATTTATGGAAAGTACCACTGTAGTTGAATTATTCATGATCTTTTAATAAATAAAGGGAAAGTATTTTTATGATATATCTTCCTAGAATCTCAATCGATTAGTTAAAGAGAACAAGATATTGTATATCATTAATTTTTAATTTTTTAAAGTATGTATTGTTGTTGCTGGTAAAGCCACGTTTTCTTTATATGGTGACAAAGAAGCTATATTTAAAATATAGAGGTTTTTCGAATAGCAAAGAAAGAAAGAAAGGACATACATAAAAATTTATTTAATTTTATTGAAGTTTGGCTGACCATATAACGCTGTTTCGAGTATTGCCAAGTACTCATCATCAGTGGTCTTAGGAAATAATCGAGTTTTTTTAACTTTCAAGTCGTTAAACTTGTCTCCAAGTTCCTTTTTGCAATCTAAGTTCTTTGTGATTATTTGATCAAGATCATTGCCCGTAATAATCATGTCAATAGATGGTGCATGTAGGTGCTGAGTGAGAAAGTCATAATGTCCTGTTCCAGGATTTGGTTGGAACACCTGTTTTAGGTAATCAGCAAAAACGTTTTTTTTTTTAGATTTTTCTTAATCGCTTCGCGCCCAATTTCCGAGAGAGTTAACTGAGTTAAGCTTTGGGTGAGAGAGGTGATCATCATTTCCAAACTATTACTTTGAACTGGAGGGGATTATTGCTTGTCAGATTTAACGACATAAGCATATAAAACATGCTTAGAAAACATGTAACATGCTTAGAAGATAAAGGTTGGGATACTTCAACTAATTTAATGGATGTACTTCTGATATGATGTACACCCATTAGAGGACAGCCTCTATAGTTTGCATTGTGATTTCCACTGCAGTTGCTTCATTTTTTGTAGCAAGGGACAACCTTTTGCAGGTTGTAGATGGGATGGCTCCCAATTCTTTTAAGCTTAGATGGTTCCGGGTGAAGTTTAACTTTAAACATGAGTTGTGGGATTTTATATTTGTTAACAATGTTTATAACTGGTCTAGCGGTAAAGTTTTTTTTATTGACTATATTGGGAATTGCAAGCGATGCTGCTGAAGATGCAATGTTTGAAGAGGTTTTATCGGATGGTATCGCTTTCGGGGCAACGTGTTAGAAGCATATATTACCAGATAAGCATTACGTTTACTTGGAATGCTTATCGAATGTCTTCTCTCTGGGGGAGGATTTTGATTACTCATTTGCATAAGTGGTTTTGTATGCAAATAGCAGGTGTGCTATAAAATTTACTTATTGTAACTATTATTAAAATAAATTGAATTTAAATTAAATTATATATATTTATATAAGTAAAATTAAATTAGTTTAATGTAAAGTAAACAAAAAACAAAAATGTGAATATATAAAATATTATACCTTATATTGAAATAATCAAATAGATAAATAAAAAGTAATTGATAAATATTTCCAATATTAAATAATTTAGAATTCCAATATTAGCAAGTGTGTTGTGCAATGTTATGCTGTGTCATTATAATGATGACACAACAATTAATAAGTATTTTCTCTATGAATTTAGCAAAAAGTTCAACAAATAGTTGTTTTAAATCATATGAAATTCAACAACTCCTTAAAAATGACCAAAACGATATTCTATAATATTCTTATATTACAAAAATAAATCTTTTATTTGCTGCGGAAAATCAAATTCAGTTTTGTAGTATTTTATTTTAATATCATATAGTCATTGGTAACTTTATATAAGTGCAACTTATTGATGAAATTAACTGGTCCCGAAGCTATTTAATATTAATTTATCACGAATCGCTCGATCTTTTCAATTATTTTTCTACTAATCGATAATACGTTCTAATTCTGTAAATTATAGTTTACGTGGTAAACATACTGACAAGATAGTTTTAAAGGGTAAATTGAATTAAAATTGATTTTGAAGTAACTTCTATCTTAATGAACTAAAATAATATAGAGATATTGAAATGTATCTATAGCCCTTAGATATTCTAAGACATTTAAAACTTACACTTGGCTAAAGGTGTTTCTGCTGTTAGTGATAGCATTTAATAAATTCAAATTTATTTATTACATGGCACTCATGCTAGTTTGACCTATGCCTCGAAGTTTCATTCCGTGTCACATCATAACATTATTGTTTATTTTGTCAAGGAATTCATTTTCAAAAGTCTCTATAATGTGGAGCTTGGTGTGCAAATGTAATATGCCTATGTTTTTTGTAAATGATAAAATTTACCAAAGCCACATAAATACCTATTAGTTTGAATTAAATTTGAGGATTCATGTCCGCAATAAAATATGTTCATTTCTCAGAACAGTGTCACAAGACTGTTTTGCTTTGTTGGATCAAAACCGATATTGGATCTGTTAGAATGTACCAACTATTAATTCGAAACCTTCTTTACTACTTTTATGTACTAATGGCAACACTGTTGTTATATTAATTATCATGTGTTAATTGAATAAAGAAGTTAAAATGAGAAAGTTGTTTTTTTTTCTTTTTTTTAAAAGACTTCTTATAGGATCAATGATTTCATGTTTTGTAGCCGTTACTTATCTACCAAGATGATGCATTTGTTTTTGTGGACTTACAAAAAGATTGTGGTTATACAAACAATCTTTTACATATTAAGGCATTGAAAATAAACACTCATCTAAATATAACTTAGCTATTGCCAGATTAGTTCAAATAAGAAAAAGGATCCAATACTGTGATATGTCTAGCTAAGAGCATTTAAATGATCTGAACTCGATTTAACTTTCACTGAATTGAAAACAAAAACTGATATAGTTATAAGTAAGCTATATCCAGATTAATCCTTACAAGTAATCGAAAATTACTTCAAAAGGATCCAATCCTGTGATATGCAAGCGAAGAACATTTAAATGATATAACATTTCACACTTAATGACCTATGTCCAATAATACATTAAAATAAAAATTTGATTAAAATGTTAGTGACTAGTGCGTTTTATTTACGTATACTTTCAGATACCTAAATGTATGATTGATAACCTATTTTAGATTCTGATCTGATCATTTAGTAATATTAGAATATAACTTTAATCTAAGCACTTTCTGGTTTGATGTATTTATGATATATGTACGTATATATGATATATCCTTAAAATGTGATTGAGTAACTGCAATTGATAAAAAGTCACAATACTGTTAAAGAGACTAATACATTATCTAGATTTCATTTCGTCAGGCCAAAAATATACACAAAAACAAGTCACATTTTACCCTCGAATGCTTACGGTATTCATTATCTGAACTTATTATCACATTAGAAAACATTTGCATAACAAGCAAAGTTCATAAAAGAAAATGTCGAACTTTAAAAATACACAAAATGAATTGTTATTTATTACTATATTTTATTACCCGATTATGTTTAATATTAATGAGGAATTGTTTATATTTTGCTAAAATTGTTTTGGAGTATATAAAAGACTTCACCGCAGTTAGAATTTTCAAAGAAGAATTAACCATGAAGTTATTCATTGTCATCTTGGCTATTCTTAGCTGCATGTGCATGTGCAATGCTCTTTTGGAACCTATTGCAGTGTTTATTAAAACTCTAGCTGGAGGAGAGCAAAAACCTGAAGATGGTGAGCCTCGTGTAATTCCTCGTTCTGGTGATTCGCCTGACAATGGTGAACCGGAGCCTCGTGTTGCTCGTTCTGCTGATTCTCCTGACAATGGTGAAACGGAGCCTCGTCCTGCGCCTCGTCCTGTTCCTCGTTCTGATGATTCGCCTGACAATGGTGAAACGGAGCCTCGTCCTGCGCCTCGTCCTGTTCCTCGTTCTGATGATTCGCCTGACGATGGTGAACCGGAGCCTCGTCCTGTGCCTCGCCCTGCGCCTCGCCCTGTGCCTCGTCCTTTTCCTCGTTCTGATGATTCGCCTGATGATGGTGAACCAGAGCCTCGTCCTGTGCCTCGCCCTGCGCCTCGCCCTGTGCCTCGTCCTTTTCCTCGTTCTGATGATTCGCCTGACGATGGTGAACCGGAGCCTCGTCCTGTGCCTCGCCCTGCGCCTCGCCCTGTGCCTCGCCCTGTGCCTCGCCCTTTTCCTCGTTCTGAGGAATAATGATTGCCTTCATCTGAAAATCTTCCCGGCTTTCTTGGTCCTCGTTACAGGAATATTTGAAAATAAATTAAATCATGTTTATATATAACAAACTTTTTAATAAAATTATTATTTTAATTTGGCTTATGAAAATGAAACTGGTGTTTTTAATATCATATGTATTTTTGGGCAATTGAGTTTCTAATTTAAGGAAAGTGTCATTGGAGTTGAATTAATCATGATCTATGTTCAACTGGATGCCAGAAATCAAACTTTCACTTATAGAAGAATGATTGTGTTAACTTTATAAAAAAACTATATATGGTTTGTACTATTGCAAGGTGTTTATAAAATTTAATTTTTACTACGTTTCTTAGTGAAAATTAATTTCAATGAAAATTACTGAATTGTAGAATATTACTGACTGAGATTCGAAAACATGGCCAATTTTGTTTTAAAACATTGCCAATCGAATTTGTTTTCAAAGTATGGTCTGTACCTTTTTTGATAGAACAAGAAGATATTTTACTATAAGAAACCAAGAATAAAACCACATTTTTTTAATTTTTTTTTTCAAATCTGTGATCATTTTAATAATAATTAAGAGCAGATTTCCGACAGTTCCAAATATTATTAGTCAAAAATTATTATACCATTGCCTTTCATCAATTTTTAAGAAAAATATATTCAGTCTCCTTTATAACCTATATTTCTATAGTAAAACTTTGTGGATATAACTACAGTCAATAATAAAATAAGCACACTATAAAATAAAATAAAAATTCTACAGTTCAGTTAAATTTATTCAAAATTTTGGGTACCCTACGTGGTATCAAAATATTCTGCCGAAACTGTTAACTTCCATTTAAAAAAACGCTCTCTCAATATCGAGAGAGTAGCCCACCGCAAATTCTTAGCAGTCCACATACTTCCGTATGTTAATAGTGAGGCAGAGTAAAACATGTGTGGTGAATTTATTACGTTGGTGGGCATATTAATTGGGGTGAAGTGAATTTGTCGACAAATACTCAAACTAATAGGCTTATGCGACTTAGGAAGTTCATTAGGTTTAGCTTCTTCTTTAGATATGTATATGGCAATATCTTTCTACTAGTTAGTGGGGATGGTTCCCTTCGACAGCCCTGCTCTAAAAATGTTGATAAGGTAGGGTATAAGATAAGTAAGACACTTTTGTAGGAATGCTGGAAGTATACTGTCTGCTCCAAGGGATTTGTAAGGAAAGAATGAGTTGATCGCCAATTCAATTTTATGGTCAGTGAAAATTTTACGTGCAATCCTGTTAGCATTAAAAGTTATCCTAAGCAGTTATTCGTCTAAGAGCCAACTGGTCGTTTTAGAAGTCTGTTAGAATTAGTGTGACTTTTCGAAATAACCCAGTGGATTTTAGCGCTACCGCTTAAGTTTTGATTCTCAGAGCAGAAGCTTTTCCATTATTGTCTTCTAATTTCTTTATTAAAGGCGGTGAGGGGATTCTTATAAGTGATCCGGCTACCCTATTTTATAGCCTTTTTAAAGAGTTTCCGAGATTCGAGTCTAAGTTTAGGTAGTTTATTATATCATATTATAACTCATTAATATAACTTATCGTATGTTTGTTATTGTATAAATTACTTCTGGTAGATCTTGTTGTAGCTTGAGTTATATCTAAACCTCTACACCACGACAAAGTGCTTACCGCCCACATAGAAGCAACTTTAAAAAAATGAAAACTTTAAAACTGAAGTAATTAGAGATGAAACAAAATATTGATGCAATTACGTCGTATGGGCTTAAGGCAATAGTCTAAAATATATAATCTAACCATATAAAAGTGGCAACGGCAGCACGCAACCCAAAAACTTCTATCAAAGAAAACGATTTTCATCAAACAATGAAATTATAGCTTAGTTAAAAAGTACTTTTGCCGTCACTACATAGATATATAGGAGAAAGTTAAAAGTTAACAGAAAACAATGTCATTTTTACAACTAAAAACGTTCTTTGCCGTTTCTCTAGCTTATGGAACAAACTGATATGTAGGACAATAAACATGATTTTATAATCAGATCTTATGATCGTGAATACTGTAATTATATGTAAAAAAAATATTCATCATAGTTACAATAGTCTATAGTATTGAAGTGTTGATGCTTATGCCCCATTGGCGAAGAAAAAATATCTAATTAGTATCCAAGTGATTGCTTATGTAAAACTAAGAAACTATAAAAATTTAAATTATTTTTATCAAAGTAAATATTTGCATTAACCATTTTGCAACTATTATATTGCAACAAAAGGGTATATAATTTTACAGATTTAGGGAAAGCACATATAAGTTTTAGTAAAAGCTTATTTATAGCTACTTAATAGCTAATTATATAGTTCCACTAAATCTTTCATGTCAAAGCATCTGATTATAAAATAAATTTAAACAAAAGATTTAGGCTTTAGATTTCCTTGACAATAAGAAGTAATATAAATACTTAAGGGTTTATTGTTTTACAGATTTAGACAAAGCACTTAGAATTTCAAATAAAAGGTAATTTCGTTGCTATTTAGTAGCTAATTATATAGTAGCACTTAATCTTACATGTCAAAGCATCTTATTACAAAATGAATTTAAACAAAAGATTTAGGCTTTAGATGTCATAGTGTTTCTTCTTAACAATAAAAATTGATATTAATCAATATAAATACTTAAGGGTATAAAAAATTTTATAGATTTAACCAAAGCACATAGAATTTTAAGTAAAAGCTTATTTTTCGCTATTAAATAGCAAATTATATAGCTGCAATTAATTTTTCATGTCTAAACATCTAATTACAAAATGAATTTAAACAAAAGACTTAGGCTTTAGATGTTATAATGGGTATTCTTGACAATAAAAAGTAATATTGTTAAATGTTAATACTTAATGTAATGCTAAGTTATAAATTCGGCACGTTTTCGATATATTAGTAGAAATTGTATTAAGGGGGTGAGGGGTAAGAAATAGTCGGCACATTGCTTATATCGGAACTATCCTTTAACACAACGAAAAACATGTGGCGTAACTTAAGCACATAAAAAGTTGCCAAGATCATTTAGAAACACACACTTAATAAAAATTATATATATTATATATATTAATTATATATAATTATATATATTACTAGCGGACCCGACAGACTTAGTTCTGTCAGAAAGATTTGGAATGTGGTAGTTTTTTGTTCCTACCTATTTTATAGTCGGGGCAAAAAAATCTCCTGAATAGAACAGTCACCCTGGTGTGTGGTGTTCAGCTCGGGTGACCAAAGTATCTTCTCTTTCAAGAACTTTGGCTTCTTGGACCCTTCTAGGATCCACTAAAAAACCCCGACTGGGATGTCTGCCAGAGGATTTCAAACTAAGACGTAAACTTAGAGTTCAATCCCGAAACTGAAAGCAACTCGATTCAAACTTGCGCGGTTATGAGTTGATGTCGCGCTCGCTCTTCACGCGTTTGTGATATCCAAATTCTTTCAAGTTCATTTCGGTCGTCACGTTCTTGTGCAGTATAATTAGATCGGTAATTAGTTTGGTTTGTAGCATTTCGGGTTCTTTTACCTAAATTACTTCATCTTACAGGAGGCATATCCAATATAAATTGTGTCACATCATAGTAAATTAGTGATCATAGGAAATACTGATGATGTTGCTTAGACAACAGTGAGTGTTTGTAATGTAATACGAACTTTATTGAATAGCAATAATTCGAATTTTTTTCTCGCCGTAAAAACCATCCTTGGACTTCAACGAACATATAAAAAAAAGAATTGACCAAATTGGTCCATGCATTGTTGAGTTATGCGCTTACCAACTTATTTTGCAATTCATTTTTATATTAGAACTTTATTGAATAGCAATAATTTGATTTTTTTTCTCGCCGTAAAAACCATCCTTGGATTCAGCGAACATTTAAAAAAAAAGAATTGACCAAATTGGTCCAGGCGTTGTTGAGTTATGCGCTTACCAACATATTTTTCGATTCATTTATATATATAAGATTATATATCAAATCTGTGTTTGAGTCAATTAAAAAAACTACAGAATGCTTTTTGATATTTTAACACGACATTCTTTGATTGTTCTAAGCTATATAATTGCTTAGAAAGTGATTTTGGAGATCGCGACACAATACAGGCATCAATTGTTGCAAAACAACTGGTAAGATCACTAAAATATTAAATTGATTAAGTCCGATTCTTCATAATAATTTGAAACATCTAAGCTTAAGCAGAAAACTGGACATATAGGTTCATGTTAATATTTGTTATTTACTTCTCAAATATTAAGAAAATGTTTCATTCTTGAACGAATCATCAATGGAAACAAAAAATGCATTATCTAAAATTATCTTAAACGAAAGAAATCATTGAGTGGAAAAAATAGACCAGCTCAAGTGACTTTAAAAGCTATATTTAGAAATAGTGATACTTTCTATTTTGTTGGATTTCAAAGGAATCCAACGTTTTTCGTGTCTTTTTTTGCTTAGAGTTTCTACCGTTCTACACAATAATAAAAGTTCAATGAATGAATTACTGAAACAAAAAAGTCCAGAATTGATCAATATATAAGATATTGTGTTTCATCGAGCGAATGTGTGGTAACTTGCCAAAAGCTTTTACAGCTTAGTTTTGATACCTAATAATTAGTATTTATTCCAGTCTCTACAACATTTTTTAGATGATAAAACCCTTGCTTGAAATTAGAACCAATTTTTGCCATCATTTAGTTTTATGAGCGTGAAGTCATGATGAACAAGTATTGGATCAAAATGGACAATATAAAATTCAGTTAAATATTTATTCACTATTATTCACCTTTCGCCTTTTATTTTCAAAAACAAAAAACAAATTTTTTATACTTTCTGAAAACGTTTATAAATATCGAGGAAACCATAAAGCATTGCATTTGATTCGCCGTGCTTTAGTGTCTCTGGAACAATCAAATAAAACTCTTTGGAGCTACTAGATTTATCGGTCTAAATTCATCACTAATATCATAGTATATCATCACTTAAAAATCACTAATAACAGACACATCTAATCTAATGTGTGACGCAATAACTCACTTTAAACTCTAATCTATCCGTTCTGTTTATCTACCTACCAATATTACAGAACCCATCTACTTTGAACTTATTTGTAAATAATTCGAGAAACTAGTAATATTATTCAATATAATATCTTGAAAGCCAACTTATGTTAGTTTGGACTCAACCGCAACTCTAATAAAGAGTAAAGAATTTACTGTTTTATTATATCAACTGAACATAACTATTTTTTATTTAATATTAATGATCTGTGGTATTAGTAAATTAAGGTCATACATTTTTAACATATTTCAATATCTCTTAAAATAGTCTGATAAGATAAAGATAAGAACTAACAAACATTTACCGATTCTTAACACCCCAATTCAAAAGAGAACAATGCCGTAAAAATTAAAACACTGTCAGTACAACAACTATAAAATGGTTAGTTCTGGACTGTCATTGAAACCTTACAAATACATAAGCGACAATAATCACTAAATTTAAGGTTAAGAATATAAACTGTTCTTAAATAGCTTAATATCACGCAACACGTTTGTAATAATCTGCTGAAAAAAAATATTTACAAGATTAATACAAAGCACGAAGTATTTTAAAGTATTAAAGATAAAAACTTTTTTTAAACATTTTCTATGGATTGATTTTCACCAGCAATAATAATATAAAAAGACTGATTTCGAGTAAAATTTGTCAGATTTTTAAAAACAAACAATGAAACTACTTCTGCTCTTTATTATTGTTGATTGCATATTATTGAGCAACGCTCAATTTGCTCAAGTCCATGCTGCTGCACACGTACAAGGCCTTATTGGTATGTATTTAAACGTTTAAAATATAATTTTCACGATAAACGAATTATTTCCTTGTTGAATCAATATCATCAGGAGACCGACAACGACCACCGATACGAGGACCAGCTCCTACAACAGCTCCAACACTAGCTCCAGAACCAGCCACAGGCGAACCACCAGTTTCAGAACCAGCCCCAGGCCCAACACCAGTTTCAGAACCAGCCTCAGTAACGACACCAGGACCAGACACAGCACCAACAGAAGCACCAGCACCAACAGAAGCACCAGCACCAACAGAAGCACCAGCACCAACAGAAGCACCAACAGAAGCACCAACAGCAGCACCAACACCAGCAGAAACTCCAGCACCAACACCAGCAGAAACTCCAGCACCAACACCAGATGAAACTCCAGCACCAACACCAGCAGAAACTCCAGCACCAACACCAGCTTGATATCCAGTACGAAAATCCACACCAACTTTAGAATCAGAACCATAACTTAGACCAGGTGAGACAACAACAATAACAAAGGAAATAATAAGCCAAATCAACCAATTCCCAGTGGATAAAGTAAAATGATAGCCACGACCTCTAATTGTAATATATAAAAAATTATTTTAGAAATTAATTGAAAATATTTGAACACAAATGTTATTATTTTGAAACATATTTTTGAAAATTCATTACATAATACATATATAAATGTAATCAGCAATAAATTATGTCCTTTCGAAACAGATTTAAAAATAAAAGCACATGAATATTTACACACAATTTGTTATGTATTGTGTATAATTAAAACAAAATTACCGTGGACCGGTAATACTTTATCAGCCCCTTATACTGAACCAATTGATATGCCATAAAAATATTTTTTTAATTCATCCATATGTCATGAAATTTTAACAGGACCATTAATGAAGGATTTACTTACCCGACGTATATAATTGCAAATATAATATAGTATCTACCTAGGAGTATCTATTTTAAAACGGTTTTTATTGTTCCTTGTTTTTTAGTATAGCCCCGCATAAGGTTTTCGAAATAGAATTTATTTATGACGACATTAAATAGAAATGGGGCAAATATTGTCATTATGGAAAAAAGGCAATACTACTCAAATATCCTTCACAGGACATCGCACAGTATGAATCCTCATAACAAAATTCTCGATATTTTGTATTTTGTGGATATATAGCCACCAAAATCTCAGCCATAACTTAACGGATCTTTATTTTCACAAAAATTCACAAAAAATGTTTAATGATGAACATTGAAATTCTTACCATACTATAGGTTAAACTGGCCTGATAATTTCATTATAAAATTTTAACTCATGTGGTAAAGAAGATATGGAAACTTACCTGTCATATAGTTAAACCAACAGGATGCGTCGAGTAAGAATATTTTAATCTGAGATTTAGTTAAAATCTAGTTAAATCAAATTATTTTTCTGAGTGCAAAAAATATACGTTCAGGAAATTTTTTACATAATAAAACCAAAACAGAAAAGATTGCGTTTGCTTAGGGCATCATCTCGTTAGAAACACATATTTCTGGCGATCAGAATTGACTGTATGTGTCCCACCATTTGTCATTTCCAAAAAGGTATGAGTTTATCATACTTACAGACCAAATGACACACCGTACAATGAAGGCAATATTCTTTCGATAGTTTTATTAACCTAGATGTGACAATTTTATTTGTTGACATATCCACTAATCCAAAAATGATTATCTTCACTGATAGTAGTGCTACAGAAGAAATCGTTACCATTATACTCTTTATACAAAAGAGTATAAGCAAAAAGCAAAAAATATATACCATGAAATCCATTATTTTTCCAATAGATGGCTTTTCTATACCCCGCATTGTATATGTCCTATCGGGTTACGCTATAAGATAAGCTCATCTTTGTTTCAAAGATAGACACTAGAAAAGAGAAAATACACCATAATTTACAGTTTTTCTTTGATAAAAGCAAAAACGTAAGCTAAGCAGGTGAAAATGTGAATAGTGTTTATGGTCCTGATACTGTAACTGTTTATGGCCATCATGCGGAATTTAGGTTTCGTTGATTCCGTTACGGTAATTTCTAGATTTAAATTGTCAAAGATGCACCACGCACTGGAAGGCCAATTGTCGAAAATATCGATAAAATCATGGAAATTGTCGAGTACGACCTGCTGTTGTTATGTAAGCACCATTTTGATCCATTTAAATAAGGCTGGATAAAAAAAGTACCTCATGGACCGAATTTCCATCTGTGAATCGCTGGTGACTGGTGATGATCAGTCAAAGTGGATCACCTACGAGAATGTTCGAATTGCGGTGAGCCGGCTGAATCGGTGTTATCTATTTATGACAGCATCACAGAAAAAATATAAATTGTGTTATAAATTATTTTAACTGATTTATATACTGTACTGTTGTACAAGGCTCCTGTCGCTGCGATTTTTACGAATATCAGTAAACTCTATTACTCTTGGCAAGTCGTTATTATAAAACTCAACACACAAGAACCAAATTGTATTAGCATATATAGTGTATATATTGCCAAAAATTTTTTTCAAATCGCACCGCCTCACACTGGGGTATTTGACCAATTTAGGCGGCCAAAATTATTTTTGTGTGATTTTTAACTCAAAATGTTACGTAAAGCTACTTCATGACTTTTAAAGTTGCTAAAACAAAAAAATAAACAAAATAATTAATAATGTCTAAAAAAATACACTGTGCTTGATAAAATGTTGCATATGTATGGCAAGCGGCTTCTCTCAATTCAGAATTCGAGTAAGATATTAAAACAAATAAATATTGTTTATTATATTATTATAAATATAATTATAAATATTATTATAATAATAAAAAGTATTTCAGTTTTTTAATGCGACGTTTTGGTTAAACATATTCGTATACCTAACAACAGTAAAATTATATTGAAACATTTTTTTGCTCTTACCTTAGAACAATAAGTGTAATTTAAAAAAATTTAAAATATTTAAAAATTTAATATTTCGCTATCTGAGCGAAATATTCATCCTTCTCACTTAAGCACATTATGGTGTCTTCCAGTTCATTAGTAGGAAGAAGCATTTTTAACGCTTCCTTTGTGAAAGGCTGTGATGGTTTTTTTGGCTTTGCTCTCAATCCAGTCAGGAGAGGATCTGAAGTTAATAACAGTCTATTTAATATATGTATTGCAGGACTTCCGAGAAAATTTTCGTGCATAGTTCTCACGATACAGTCTGAAATGCTTATTACGTGTTTCTGCCGCTTCTTCTGACAGTTGTCCTATAGGCAGCAGTGCATTTTTAATGACAATTTCTCCATGAATAAGAATCTTATGCATAGTAGGCGTCATAGGATACCATGGATACAATATTACGTACAGCTTCGCTGTATCGAAAGCATATTGATTAAATTTTTCAGTATCAATGTCATATCCACTTGATATGACTTCCAAAATCACTTTTAAACAAAAAATTAGGTTTGGATCTATACTCGTAATTTCTGCTGATAACTCAGGCTCAGAAAAAAATCGACTACTTATGTTCCCATCATTACTATTTCCGAATCCAGGTTTAGGCATATCTACAATAAGACCCATTTTGTTTTTGAATGCCTTTTGAATTTTGATTACACGGAAACACATAGTATACATAGATCACAAACGCTGCTTATGAGTACACTGAATGCTGCTGGTGCGCTTGATTAGGATTTCAAATACTCACAAAAATTAGTAAATATTAACTTTATCTTCAATGTTTCAATGTGTCAGATCTTTACATTTCAGGCATAACAATATTTTTTCTCCTACATTATCTAAGTATTATGTTTACTCGTTTTGTATACGAAGCAATGCAAAATATTGCTTCAAATATGCATGACTCTACTTCACTTTTTTGCTGCTTACAAAGTCATCCGCAAAAATCCGCAGCCAAACTTTTTTTTTCTTAAATGAAGAAACTTTCACCTTTATAATGCAGTTAATATCATAGTGGAATATTGCGGAATTCTATAACTTTTTAACTATAATGCATTCGCTTAAATCAAAAAAATTCATTCAAATTGCAACTTTTAGATTAAAGCCTCAACAGCACTAAAACACAGAATATCTACTTTAAATTTTATGAGTAGATCTCTAATTACCTGCTTTAAACGATGTCATAATTTATATCTTTAAAGAATGTTGTCGCTATTAATAATATCACTTTTTATTAGCTACTAGTGTAAGTTGCAACTCAAACAAAAATTTTACTTTCAAAATGCTCCACTTCAAATCAGCTGTTCATGCGAATGGCAGCTCAGAGAAAAATAAAAAAAAACATAATTTTGTAGCAAATTCTATTTTGTAAAGTCCCCAATTAAAAATTTTTATGAAAAATTAATTTCAAAAATTCGATTTTTGGCCGCCTAAATTGAGCAAATACCCCTATGTGCGCCTTGGAAATTGGAATACCTATAAATCTGGATTATTATTTCATTTAAATTCATTAAACTTTGGCTATGAGTGCAGAAATTTTTTTAATATTTAAATCGGTTTTAAATGTGAAATTTTTTTATTTGAAGTGAATTAGGTTATTTCATTAGAATTTTGAATGCAATGCATTATTCTTTAACCCTCACCTGTAAACTTAGTACCCTTACCCTTACCCAGACAGCACTTATAAAAATGAAGTTAATTTAATTGAGGAGAATAAAAGAAAGGTCAATAAATATATAATATTCATTTTGCTTTTAAAGTAATTTCAGGTTCAGGACTCTGTGTCATAATAGAGTATAGAATTCATAACATTGTGTACTTAACATACTTAACGATTAGTTACTAATCTTTATTCCGAATAATTAATTTAAATTTTTTCCGTCACTGAAAAAATTAAATTACAATTATATGAAATTACAATTAGTATTGTTTTACAAAAGGAACTTATATAAGTATAACTTATAATTTTTGTAATCTATATTATCTAACCCCTTTTGTTAAGCAATTTTAAAAAATTATCATATCAATAAAAGAATCTATTGTTTTCCACTCTTAAGCATTATTGTTCTATTATCTACAAAAAAAAATAATGTTAAACGTATGTCTTTTAAAACGTATAAAATTATCTGCTTCAATATAAATGGTTTTAGTTGCAAATAAATCTTCAGAAAAAGCAAATAATGAAATTACTAATTTTTATTTTGGCTGTTCTTAGCTATACCTTAATATGCCACGCAGCACTTCCTTATAAGCTTCGATATAGACTAAAAGACGGAGGAACTAGAGATAATTTAGAACTTGAAGGACCAGATGGTAAAACTTATTTCTTGGATGCAGGCTTCGGTAAAAATCCAGTTAATTCCGATACAAATTCAGCACCTGAACAACAACTACCAGCTGAACAGGAAAACTAATTAACGAATTAATGAGTTTATATGTAAAAGGACCAATAATAAGTTGTGTATTCCTTTTAACAATAATTATTGAAATAAAATAATTTAATAAAATAAAATGAAGCTTGACTTTTGCCTTTTATATTAATTTGATAATTTATCTTATATGTCCTTACCTTCTCCAAATTTCTATTCTTGTTGGCAATACTCGACAGACGTCATCATTAATTATTGACTATTCTCATTGATGACATTAGGTAACGCAATTTATGATAATTAACTAAATTAGAGGAATTCTATGTAATTATATATCACTAAAATCGAAATTTATACTAACATTGAGAATTATGGTGGCTCAATTTTTGATAATATTAGAACTCGA